TCCTTGGCCTCTGGATCGCGATCGTTTCCATCGGAGCGCGCCCGGGAGAGCAAGCCGCCGGTAGCCAAGGGGCAGAAACAAAAAAAAAAACTTAAAGCCAACGCCACTCACGCCGGCGAACGGATTTTTGTATCAAGCGGAGTCGCACGATGATACATAATGTGTATACGTGTAAGGTGACTCGCACAACGCTACTGTAACGTAAAAAGATTATATGTATTCGGCCTTGCATATAGATTAACACGCGAGGATCTATACTCTGAATTTCTTATACTCTTGAGAAAAATTATTAAATTATTAATCCAAATTGTTCAAATATTTTTTTTAATTAAAGTAATTTAAAAAGTGGCGTGGTTATAATTCTTTTCATTCGATTTCTTCGTTGGAATCGAATAATGTTATTCAACAATGTAGTCAATGTCTAATGTTTCAAAGATTAATTGTTCTTAGAAAATCTTCAACATACAAATTTTATAAACACAAGTTTCCCGACTAGCTCGTTAGTAAGATAATCTTGTCTGATGCGAGAAACTGATATGAATACTCGAAGACCAAAGGAAAAACCGCCTCTTAATTACACGAAACCAAGTTTCTAATCCACGACAGCGATAATTTCTGCAATTATATCGATTAATTTGCGGATTAATACGAGAATGGAGAAAGTCTGAATTTTCACGCATGCCGCAACTAGATGACCGTGTTCGATACCGGCTGAAAGATGGTTTTGAACGATCGACGTATACCGGATTGCGCTTGTAAGGTGAAGAAAGCGAGTGCACATTTCAACGATGGACTTCGGCTTCCTTGAAGCGCGAAGGTATACTTTGTCCAGGAGTGTTGCACGTATCGCATCGGATTTCACGTGGGGTCTGTGGTTCCTTGGGAATGGATACTCGGTTATGGGTTGCGATCGCGGCAGCCATAGCTGGGGTGTTCTCTCTACGGATATACATGAGACGAGTACATAATACATGCGAAGCTTTCGATCTACCGATTGACCTTTAATAAGTATACCGATGTAAAATTAAATCTGAAAGGTTTGCGAGAAACAAATAATTAAAAATCAAGGTGTGTAAGTTATAAAGTATAAAATGCATATACAAGAATACATAATTATTAATATTGATATCAACAATTAAAGAAAGTATTAATTGAAAAACGCAAGAAATTTGATAAATAATTTGGAAGAATATAAAAGATATATAAATTATATAGATATCTCGTTTGAAAAAAATGCATTAAATTTATGTTTGTACGTTTGTATAAACATTTTATCATGTGAATGAATTATTGTAAGCAAGCAGATGTACGTATCAATAGGCGTTTGTCAGTCAATTTACGCCGAAGGCGGAGTGCATTACGGATTGTTCCTATTTGTTTTCTACACAGCGATTACGCGCCCACGATTAAGTGATGTGTTCAAGAAAGGAGAATCTATTTCAAGCAAAGTACAGCTGTAGTTATTCCGATTGCGTGGGATTGACAAAAATTCCATGAACTGACGATTTATTTAGCGACGAAAGACCTACGCTTATTAGTGTTGGCGATGACTCTATTGATTTTTCTGCGAAGTCTTAATATAAAATTTTTAATGATAATATTTCAAAAATTAATTACACATGATCAAGATAAATATTTATATACGCATAACAGTTCTGCAAATTATCTGTAAATTTATGTGAGATGTTTACTTAACATCCACATTATATTATTGACAGCTGTCAATAAAGAAATTGGCAATTTTGTATTGTCAGTAGTTCCACAGATTTTACAAACCTAAGTATAAAACGTGAATTTGTGAAACGTTTCTGTATTTTCTATGTTGCCAACAGTACGTAAATCAGCCTTCATCATACCATCTGACGCTTTTGCTCCGTGGAAGATAAACGAATTATTTTATCGCAGTTGTAGCTTTTCTGATAAAAAAGTAAAATATGAAATATATACTTTGAATACATTGAACTATATATAATTTATTTTTTAAAGAAATTGTATTAAACCTTTTTTAATAATTCTAAAATTGCTAAATTAATGCGCAATAAATATTAAATTAAAGTTTGTGATAATATTTCGGATACTTCTCCCGAATACTCTTCGCAAATAGTTTAGTGCAGTTCTGAATAAAAAATAGATTTTCTCTCTTGCGTTAAACATCTCGTTGAGATAAAATCGCATTTAATCGAGAAATTACGGGACACTTACCTGTACACGTCGCGTCGCACGAGTTCATCGATTGCTTCGGGGGGGAGGAAAAAAAAAATAAAACGGAAAGTCAGAATATGCAAAGGTCGGGAGAGATTCATGCACGATCGCAGCTGTGCTGATGATGGCTCTGGCATGCCCTTACCTCTCCGCCCTACAGAGATCTTAAGGGAGATTTCCTTGTGAAGAAAGAAGCAGGGGATCGAAGGTTGAGAAAATTGTGCGTTTATTAGTGAAGACGACGTTCGAGCAATTCTCACCGCTTAATTTCATCGACGATGCCGACGCGAGGCCTCCGGAAGCCGCGTTGAGATCCTAAATGAACAGCCTGGCCGGAGACAGGAGAAGAGAGAGCGAAGAGACCGAGCGTCTTCGACAAAGATACGCACATTCACTTTCTATATCACAAAATTTCTATATCACATATTTCTTTATCATTGACTTACAAAAGTCGCAATAAAATCTGTCGCAAATAAATCTATAAATTTATAACGATAAGTTTAGCAATGATGATCACATAATAGTAGTAATAATCATAATAATTACGATATAATAATAACAACGACAACAACAATAAAACAACATTGCATTTACAAGTCTTAAAGGGACACATTTATACTTATCTATATGTTTTTTTTATCGCTCTATCCTCTCCTCTCTCGATTTAATCGCGCAACTCTCATTGCTTACGATCTTCATATTATCACGTACGTCTTCCGCTTCGGGGTGTTACGCGAGCACGTCATCTCTATATCGTCGATGTCAGAATTAAGATCGACTTGAGATCTCCGCTAGATTACCGTCGTCTTTCGTTTTTTTTTTTTTTTTTTCCGGTCGCGGCGGACGGGCCGTCCTCGCGCGTCGAACAAAGAATCGAAGATTTAAAAAGAATCGCGCCACTCTCTCGCATTCTCTCCGACTATTACTCTCGCACGCTCGCACCTATGTGGAACATAGCACATGTTTTTCTGTATATTTATATATATATTTTTTCTCTCTTCTCTCATATATTTATATATATATATATATATTTATATATTTATATATTTATATTTATAATCATTAATCCTCTTCGTTCATTATACCTATCTATATATTATCTACAGGGCAGTAGCCATATACTGACTGACTGGGCGAGTGTTTATCGCTTGTGTTGTCCGCTCGCAACGATGCCGACGACTTCGACTTTGACTAGAGAGACGCGCGCGTCGTATATTATCTCACCCTCCCGATCGCAATGTTCCTCGGGAGAATACGTGCGTCTTTTTGTATGTGTTATGTTTACGCTTGACATGCCCACCTGTCGCGATGTGTAATTACCGATCTAGTGTCGCAAGAGTGGAGGTCGCACGGGCGTGCCGCGATGCGCTCCAACTTCACCGCTCTCTTGGTCGTTTTTTTTTTATGACGCGGGGAGAGTATCCGTTGTCCGCCGGTGTTGCAACATGAATTCCCGAGAGTATATTTTGCGAAAGGAAAGAAGGAATAGGTACATAAGTAATATGAGTCACTTGAGCCTGTGATATACCCTCGCGGCCCCGGCCGCGATCGGTCTCGCGACGCGAGACGAGATCCTTAGCGCGGCGGTAGCGAGGTTACATCTGACATTTATTCCACTGCGTCGGAAACTTGCGTCTGGCGCGCAAGTAGTATAATTTTAATATAAAGTAAACGTCGGAGGGGGGGGGAGTACTACTCTCTTTATAGGATATTATTTTATATTAAGCTTAAGGTTTACATTTAACATCGTATGTTTCTGACACTTCCCCATTAACGTTCTCTCGTTACGAGTGTAATATCTGAGACAAATTCTCTAGCATTTACATCACTCATCATTGGTCAAGCCGTTGTAATAAAGTGCCGTGTAATAAATCTCAGATGTAAACCTACATTGTGAGGAGCATTTGTGCGCGATTCTGGAGATCGAAGAGGTGAAATCCTATGACGAGCGATCGGTCGAAGCGCATCGCGGCCGAGAGAAAATTCTGGCGACGAGCAGACGTTGCGGCGCGAATAATACTGGGCTCTTCGATCGTGGCGATGCGCATCGTTTGCGAACGCCAGTAACGATCGAATCGTCGTATTTCTTTGTTTTTATTTTACTTTTTTTTATTTTAAATCCTATTCCATACTTACTTATGAATTAACGCTAAAAGTACTCGCACCGCGACGTTCCGCCGTCGAACGCCGCTTTCATGATTTCTCTCCGTTTCTACGCGTTTCTCCATTTTTTTCTTTTTTTTTCTTTATTCGCATCAACGTTGACAGTTCAATTTCGACGCGACAGCCTCGATTTCGCGCGAGTTCGAGGGACACTTGGTATTTTCTCGTGTTTAGGCCTTTTTCTTCCACGATCACGCGTTTTCCGATTGCGTTTCCGCGTGACGATGACTAGATTCTACACGAGCGTGCGCGCGTTGCGTCAGCGTGGATACGGTGTGCGCGTGTCTCTGTATATTTGTGTGTGCGTGTGTAGCGCGCGCGTGTGTGTGTATATGTGTGCGCGTTTGTATGTATAAATATGTATTTGATTGAGTGTCCTTCTTATCTTTGGTGATCGTCAGATTGGTTGGCTTCGACGCACGTTCGATCTTTGGTGTGTTCTCGCTGGCAGTAGCTCGGTATCCGCCGTGGGGATGACGCACCAGGAACGACAGAGATCCCCGTCCATCGACAACCCCTTAAAAGCGCCACGTGAAAGCAACGCCGAAGTATCTTTAACGAAAGATACTCGAAAGGAGATCCTTCCTCTTTCCCGTCTTTTCTCTTTCTCGACGCTCTTCTCGTTTTTTTTTTTTTGGATAAATATAAATACGGTTTCTCGCGGTCTCATCCTTCCCGAGGAGGAGAATCCGCGGACTACTGGCGATTATAGAAAAGTGCACGCGCGATAAAAAATACATTACGTTACATTACATTACGTTACGCTACGACGCATAACGTTACCCTGAAGTTACAGCGGGCTGTATTAACGACGTTGACTTGATTGATTTTCTCCCAGCCGTGGAAGATAAACGCGGAAACGAGAGAGAGAGAAAGAGAGAGCAAACGGCAAATTCGATCTTGAGCAGATTAAATCTATCATCGCAAGGACACGCGACGCACACTCGAGACGAATCCTTACGCTGTACGCGTGTTAATCTTAGGATCACAGGAGACACGATCAACAGGGGTGCGTTCGGGACCGACTGCATCTTGAGAGAAAGAGAGGAATGAATATCCGTTATTCCGCGAAGCATTGACTAGAAATATATAAGGGATCATCATTGCCATTGCGGCCAAATGCATCAGATAGCTGCAGTCGTGTGCTACATTACGAGCACTTTGTCGAATGTACTCGGACATGAATCAGATGGTCAACTTTTTCCACACAGCAAGTCCAATTGGAATCACATCGTGATAGAATAGTTGAGAAAGTTCTTTCGATTTTTCTTTGACATTTGCTAAGAACTAAAGAGAATGTTTTAACTATTTTCACAACGGATTGCGCGGGAGACCGTTAATGTAAAACATACGAGCGGCGTGATTCAAATCAAACTCGCTTTTTTTTTTTTTTTGTTAGCCGAGAGAAGAGCGAAAGAGAGGAAGAGAGCTCGCGCAAGCCCGAGTCGATCTCCAATGTCGAGCTCCTGAACTACAACGAGGAAAGATCGCGAGGGTCTCGAAGATCGATGGATTCGGTGGGATCGATGAGTGTTCGCGACGCCGGTGTTTGCCATCCCCGTGCGATCGCGTGTGACCTTCGTTTCTCCGGCTACGAGTTCACCATCCCGCGCGCGTTGCATGCGCCTGCACCGAACTCCTGGAAGTGGAACGCCGCGATCCTGCGATCTACGCGACCGACCGCGGCCACGATCTCGCCGTACGTTCAGTCCATTATCATCATCATCATAATCATCATAATCATCGGTGTCGTAATAGCTCGCGTACAATGGCGAGCGCGTTTACATGGCCCCGTTGTGCCTTCGCGTGGAAGAGCAAATCACTGAACAAACTTCTGGCTTCCGTTAATGAGCGATCCGACGCGATCAGGCGGCCTGTCGTCCATCCGAGAGGATGGTTTCCCGATCGTGAGGGAGGATCATCTCCGACGGCTATGGGTGATTGCTCCGCTCGGGCGATTCCTCGCCTCGATTTTCCGACGAGGAGGATGTTGCCGATCGCGAATACCCTGCCCGGAACGATTCGGCCGATCGACGCATAATTTGGTGCGTGATTTGGTGCTTGGTTTTGTGGAGGTCTTGGTCCGCGCCCCCGACGTCTTTGACGACCGTCGATTCACGATTACGTCGCTGCCCGCTTGCCCTTCGTTTTGCCGCTGCTTTGCTCCTGCCCGGCGCTCGGGCTAGGTGGGCCGCTGCTGTTCAATCTGGCCATCCTCCGGTAAATCTCGCTGTTGACGAAGCGAGGGTACGAGTCCCGGTGCATGAGGGTATAAATCTGCAGCTGCGCCTCGTCGAAAGTGTGCGGCGTAGGTTCCACCATGTTGCGGTTCACGATCTCTCGTACTCGCGAATCCAGACTCACCTGCAAGCCGGACGATTAATTTTTAATTAATTTTATGACATCGGACATTTATTTACAAGTGAAATGTACAAGGATATCAAGAGTAATTTAATTCACTGTTCGTTAAACTTATATCTTTTTTACGACAAAAATTATAATTTATCGGAACCTTTTATTAGAATTTATTTTTGCACTCACGAGCTATTTGGGTGATATTGAATAAAAATAACTTCAGGAAGAGATATGATTTATAATGCTATGCTCTTTCTGTGAAATTTTCGAATAATTTTGAAATAATTTTTTTCGTAAACAACAACAAATGATAAAATGCAAATAAGGCGGGGTTATAAACGATTGGGGATAAAAAGACTTCTGAGAATTATAGGCTACAATGTATGGGCGCGCGGTGCAGCACGATATTTACGTTATCGTAAAATTATCTGCTTGATTGCAATAATATACAGACAATTTGCCGTGCTGTGAGTGCACTGTACAATTTACCGTAATGTTCGAATGATAAAAGACAGTTCGTGCATTCGCCCCGTTTGGGTGACTGAATAGGTCGTTAACGGGGTCACTGGGTCACTAGGTCAGTAGGTTAATATGGAAGAAATCAGTCACGCGCATTCGCAGTTTTTCTCGAGCGGAACACTGTAAAGGAATATTGACATTGCACCCCTTTTAACTTTTAAGTGCATTTAATTTTGCCACCTTATTTTCTAATTTTTATGCGCTCGTATATATTCGAGTTTTCGCATCCGATAAAATGCTGCAATTAGATAATGCACGCTGTAACGCTATCGATTCTATCGTCAAAGCTAACAGCTATGGAAGGGCACGTAGGAATCATTTTATATTATGAAATGTAAGTGCTTATGATGCATTGCACCGGGTAGTCAAAGTAGCGGATACCGATCGTGTGCCACCACATGCTGCGCCATTATATTAACTTAAATAGACGGTTGTGTTAGAAATCGTTCGTATATTTCTAGGTTGATGTTATCTTTTCGGACAAATGTATTACAATAGTATAGCACGTTTTTTCCAAGAAACAAGAACAATTTCTTACATTAATATCGTGTTTTTTTAAGGTTGCACAAAGTAGCAGCAGAAAAAATGTGTCGAAAGCATTGTTAATATATATTTTATTATTTTGCCTGACATTGAAGCGATCAATACCTTATTCGGAAATGATTGTAATTGCTTTACGAGTGAAGCACGTTTTATTAAAGGGACGTAATAATTGCGAAAAAATAGCAACAAATTGAATCGGTCAATTGGAAAATCGAATAAATAAAACAAATATAAAAATAAAAAAATTTTGTTTTAATACATAATTAACTTACGTACAATTATTGAAAGTATAATATGAATACATTGTATCTTCAGTTTTAAAGAACCATAGCTTTTACTCTCTTTATATAATTACAGAGAAATAAATATAGATTCATTGATTTCTCCTGAATGCTTCAGCCGAATTACGATCGTTTGTTACGAATAAATATAAATACCGCGGCTACTCACCTCCTTCGGCGAAAGTATGGATATGTAATCCTCGTAAATGTAGCGCGCCTTCTCCTCGATCGTCTCGGGATTGCTCTCCCTCTTGAGTTGCTCGCAAGCGAGCCAGAAGGCGATGTTCTCCTCGCTGTACTCGCTCACGAGGAACTCTCTGAAGAGCTTGCGGCCGGCGGCGCTCCTCATCAGCTTGTCGAAGGACGAGCCCCAGACCCGGACTTCTTCCAAGTTGTAGCACTCCAGGCCGCCGTCGAGGCCGTCGAGTCCGTCGAGACCGTTACCCGCACCTGCACCCGCAATTTCGCTGACGCCGATGCCGCCGCCGTGCTCGCCGCCGACGCCGGCGTTGCCCTTCTTTTTGCCCTGATCGCCTGCTCCAGTGCCCGTCGAGTTACTACCGACTGCCGCCAAACTAACACGATAAGAATACACGTTAGAAGGATCGCGCTATCGTTCATCATGTATAGTCGCGCGGAGTATACGCGAAAAAAAATATTCTCAAAATAAAAGAGAATTTCCTCTCTAGCGAAGAGAATTCCTCTCGATATTAGCTTGTCGATACATTTTGTTTCTGGGGCAAACGTGCGAAGAGACAAATAATGTCGTTTACTCTAAAAACAAGTATACATCAAAAGAGGAAATGTACAATATATTTATCACGTCGTATAGGTCATACGTCGTACATTTCTTCTTGTGTGTCGTTTTCTCGTTTTATTAAGTATGGATGAAAATTTGAAAATGCTAAATGATTCGAAGTTTGAGAAGTACGTAGAGATATTGGAAGATGAGCATTTAAACTTTTTCTGATCATAGAAATTGTAAAATAATGTTTTCTCTCCTCGAAAAGTGTACGACGTATAACTTATGATCACTTCTGACATGATGCTCTAATATTTATCATATATACGTATTTCCTCTTCGAGTGTGTATTATTTTCACTTGGCTGTGTAAAATTTATTACAGATTACAACACATTCAGTGTTTTATTCAAATAAATTTAAAAAAAAGGTTATTTGTAAATACTTTTTTATATTAACTGAAGAAGATGAGTACTATTTTTTAGAATATTTCCTCTCTATATCTAAGAAGAAATCCTCTAACGGAGAGGAAAATTCTTTTAAAATGAGACGCATACTTTTGATCTTCTTACAGAAGAAGAAAACATGCATCAAATTTGGAGGAATTCTCTAACTTCAAGAATATTTTTTTGGTGTAATGAATTTAATCGTTAAGCAAATAAATAATTTCTTCGATTCTATCAAGGTCAAAATTGATAATAAATTGTTAATACTGTTGTCGAAATTGATGATCGTGAATTATTGCGTCAATTATTGCAATCGTGCAGTGTTATTGCTTATAATTCTCGTTGACGAATACGAGCACGGCGGAAGGAATACGAACGCAAATACAATAACAGACAGCTGAAGAGGAATGTGTGGGAAATGAATATTAAACTTGGTGGCTTCAAGAAATGAAGAGATAAAATGAGCGACGGAGGCGGACGAGCGCAAATATGGTGGGGAATGATAATGGGCGACTAACGATCGTCAGGATAGCTAATTTAACCGATAAGCCGTGGAAAATGCAAGATACAAAAAGATGTGAAAAAGACAGCGTCGGACCGAGGGAAAATATTACTCGTGTCGATAACAGGCGTGGAACCGGGTTATTGGAAGGTCGATTCTTTGTGCTTGATGACGCGACTGTCCTGATGGCGTTTGCGAACCACAACTGCGGAAATAAACGGCGTTCTAAACGATTTATGCGATTCGACAGAAAATGATGAAAATGACGAAAATGACGAAAATGATTCTTTCCCTACAGAAGCTGTCCTCTAGATCTACTAGACCTACATTTATTTAAAAAAAAAAAGTTTTTTTCATGTGACTGAAGAAGGGAACAATATCTGACAGTTTGCGATATTTATCATACTACATGTAAGTGTTTGGTACAAAATATCTTAAAGTTACAAGAATTTATCTCTTTTCTTCTTTCTATGCTATTAATTTTATTTGACATAAATTTTTATTCAGGTTGCAATATGCTATTTTCTTCATTGCGTATTTTTTTAAAAATAATACTTAATATCGATAATTACTCATAAATTAATATGACAATCTTGTGATAAAATAAGGAAAATTTACAAACGAAAAAGAGGACACCACGAATTATTGCGTAATATTGAAGGCAGTTAGACTACAGAGGAACGTTTTAAATCAAATTAATGCACTTGTAATTTATAACAAGTATAAATTGTCAAAAGTATCAATGTTTTATTAGAAAAATGTTCTAACTTTGTTATACTTGATATGATAATTCATGATATAAATACATATATAATTAATATAAGATTAAAATAAAAAGCGTTTTATTAAATGCTTGGACAATGCTCTGATTTTAGATTAAAACGCATTTATTCTCTCTCTCTCTCTCTCTCTCTCTCTCTAGCAAAATAAAAAGTAAATTATGTTTGAGTTTTTCTCTGTTTTTTTATGTGTTAACACAGACCTAGTAGTCTTTGTAGCGGGGACATTTCCGTTTCATATTCTCTCAAATAACCGTGTATGCGAACGTGAAAGAGAAAAAGGCAGTTGAACAAAGAGAAATAAAGATGCATACGTGTTTGTCGGACAAAATGCAGCAAACGAATGTAAAAATATCGCGTTTGCAGGGTTATCGTTTGTTGAAAAAAATGTACGTCAACAACTGTGGTTTCTTTCAAAAATGTTTCTCGCTTATAACAATTACTAATAAAATAAACTTCTAAAAAATGCGCATTCAAGAAATGTTATTTCTGAATAAAACTCCACTGCTTTGAACTGCTATTGAGGATGCATTTGAGGTCCTCAAGGGTTAAGGGAAAAAAACCCAACGTTGCGCAACATGGAGCAAGGAGAGAATCTTGAATGGTGCTAAATCGAGAAGATTGTTACACTTCAAAATATACGCTGCTTTCGAGGAAGTTTTTCACGCTGGCATAACAAAACACTCGCGTACACACAGTGCATTTTCGCGGTGGAAATTCAAACAGACACCGTTGTACTTTGGGTACACTTTTGCGAGTCGATGCCAGGCCAGAGTGAATAGGGGGCTATTCGAGTATTATCTGTAAAGATGAGTCGCGGAGGAAGGGACGCGTGATATGTGCATAACCCCATTTCTGTGAACCGTAATACGTGCATTACGATAGCATCGTCATCGACGTAACAAACAAGCAGCATTAACGCACAGTAGTCCGTGGCCTGCTTACCATTTATTCCTACTTGTGGCATGAAACAGAGAAAGGCAATATGTAGATACGTCTGCATGGCAATAAATGGATCACACACAGAGAGCTTAAAGACAATGGACCGGTATCGTTTCAATGGCGAGAGGTTTCGTAGATGAAGTAAGCACGAAAATAGCCGCGATAACGATAATAGCGCGTTACGTGTTTTATCTACCTCGCATTAGTGTGATTACAATAACATCTCTTCGTGCTGATTTGCTTTGTCAGTGGCTCGTCGTCACGAGTATGCTTATTATGGAACGGGAGATTCAAGTTACTTCGCGCGATTTGATCCGCGCTTCGCGCTTATTAACGGACTTGTCCATTGTCATGTGAGACGAAATTGTTACTCATTATTCAATAAATTGCTTTGTACATCAATGCGATACATAAACTAAATCGTTGTGATGCGTATTAAAAAAAAAATAATTAATCGTAAACAAGCTGCATCAAAGCTGCCAATAATAGGAATTTTCTTTGGCAAATATTTATAACTTTCTAAAAAGGTGATCTTAAAATAAATCTTCCGCTTCGCATAAATAAATCATTATTAAAAAATTCAGATTAAAATTATAGAGTGCCGGGAAAAAAATGCTGTCCGGCTTTCGTGTGAGTAGTTTTTCTAGGATCAACCGCATCGATGTACAAGATACAAATAGGTAAGATCGATAATACCACGAGCAACTACAGCAACAGCACCAGCACAGGCAACAGTTGTCCTTCTTCGATCGACCCACGAGTCCGGCTTGGCGTTGCTGTTGCTGGGATTGCTGCTGCGACGCGGGTGCCTGCTGCTGTTGCTGCTGCGACTGCTGTTGCTGCTGAGACGATTGCTGCGGATTATTGTGCTGCATCGTGGACCCCGAGGCTTGGCCTTGGTTCTGTGCACGGAGGCGGCAACCACCAGCTACACCTTCGCCGCCAGTCCCGTGGCTAACGCCAATCCCCATTGCAGTTGCACCGAGTCCACTCGACATCTGCAAGCGACATCCGTCCTCTAAATTCGCGCACCACGTGTAAACGAGCTTATCCCGCCGCTAAAAATAGGTCTACTAAATTAGTGGCTTCCGGAATACAATGGACCACTTGTCAGCTTTGCGATTTGTTTACGCAGTAAGTGTGTGGCCGGCATTGAACCTTTTTAGAAATATGCGTTTCTATATAGATATTAATAACACGGAGTCCTTTAACGCGCGAGGAATTCGCGAAGCTAGTCTCGCATGATTAGTACTTGTAAATAGAGTCAAATGATACTTAATAATTATAATAAATGTTATTTTTTTTATTTTTTTGCACTCGTTAATATATTTATTTTGACAAAATGTAAGTTATTTTATATATAATATTAAATAAGAAATTTAAGGCTTAATTGATTCAACAATCTAAATTTATAATTTATCTAGACTAATGAGCCAGGCTGGTTGCTTGTACCGAAAATATTATACCATATTTGTAATCGATATAATAACATGTACGCTTTGACCTATATTAGGTCATCTTTAGTGAAATTATTACAATAAATTAATGCTTATAAAATAGAAATTGTGCATTGAAATACATGCATTGAAATACATAATTGGTAATTAATTTGCAGAAATAATCACGCGATATTCAGTTCTTTGGTTTATTTTTTTTACAAAATGCCGGTCACAAAATTGATTATTCTCAATTAGTAAAATAAGTATCATTGTAAAAAAAAAATATATATATATATATATTGTGCCGGCTGAATAATTGAAGCAATAATTTATAATTAATAAAATTACAATCCTGAAAAATTATTATTCAACGGTCCAAGAAATTAAAGTATTAAGATAATTAAACAATCAGTTAATATTACTTTCGCTGTCAAAGACACGCTGCCAAAGACCGAGGAAAATTAGCAATCGAATCCCACAAAAGAAAAGGAGAAAGAAAAGGAAGGGGAAAAGTTTATTTTGATTATAAGTCGAAAGCTGTCTCAAAAAGTATGACGTGAAAATTTTGAGAGAAAAACCGATTCATTCGCGTGTTAAAGTAAGATTCCAGTTTTTAGCATTCGCTACGAAAATACTAATAGCAAAATATTCCGAATTAAGTAATCCGCATAAATCCCGGGAAGAACATGACAATCGAGTCGCGTGTGACAACACGCTGAAGTCGTTAAGCTCTAATAGAAATAAGCTGACCATACGATAATTGACACATAAGCCTTCAAAAAGCAGCCAATTAATTCAGATACGATTGTCACACACTCAGCTGCACGTATCGATTGGCTCGTATTTTCAGCGCGGCCCGGCGATGGCGATATCGAAGTGAGAGATGTAGCTGGAGATTTATTATTCTTCCGTTCTCGCGCACCGTGTTCCGTTCGAGGTCTCCGGTATTTAAAATTCATGATCGCCAGACGGTTGAGCTGACCGATATTGGATTCTCGGAGAAAGTCTGAGGAGAGGATTAAACTCTTAATGTCATATTTAAAAACGATCTCAATTCAAAATCAGTACGTTCCCGATCCTTCCCCAGTAAGTTTTGACATCTTAATTGTACTGTGCTAACGCGTGATGTCCTCATTTCCTAATCGATAATCCAATCTGTTTTTCGTCTGCCGACATCGCGTTTTCCTTCTCACAATTTCTTGAAATTTATTCAAGCATTACATAGCAATTGGAGCAGAGTATCCTCAAATTAACTATCGTCGGTTTTAATGCAGTTCGTATAATTCGAAATCCTTTCGGTGTCTTTTCTCATCGCGACTGAGTGTAAAAGAAAAATCTTGTGAACGAACGAATAGACGCTGCGTGTGATTTTATTCCAGCATTCGAGTCTTGCGAAAATATTCAGCACCGATCTACTGTCGCGGATACAGAAGAGATTCGCGGAATGAACTTTGGGGGTACGCCTGTGCATGACCCTTTATTTTTACGTCACGTTGTGCATCGATGATCCGCTCTTCGCGCGGCCTCGCGTGATAACGACTACATCGGATAGTCGCTTACACAAAATGTGGGCAAAGGTTGATAAACACTGGCGTACACGTGTGTAACCGTGAGTAAACGTGGCAGCGCGTACGAATGAGCTGCGTAAAGAAGAGAGGGAGAGAAAGAGAGACGGGAAGAGGAAAAGAGAGAGACGAAGCAATCGGAAAAGGGAATTGGAATTAGGCAATCGGGGTCGTGGAGATTAAGTAGGGGACCGTTAAATCGCTTACAGCGCAATATAAATCGAACGCGGATTTACGCGAACGCGGCAATTTGGAACGGTCGGGAAATAGAGGCCGGAAGGAGCGCGCCACGCGCAAAAACTGAAAGTTTAGAACCGGCTGGCTCGTAAAAACATGCCACCGTTTATGTACGGTGCGAATTTCAGTCCGTATCCCTCGGGCCAGTCTCTTCAAAAACGGAACTCCGATTACGACAGTATAACGTATGTAAATTACAGTAATCTGCCGGGCGTGCGATTTGTTTTGGCAGACATTGTAGAAACAAGCCATTGCTTACAGAGAACATTGAGAAAATTTGGGAAACACTTCGAGACCGGCGATTGATTGCGAGCGATAAATTTTGCGTTAGTTAGTGACGCATAGTTTGGAATGTAATCATTTATATCGCAGAGTTGCGTATCCAATAAACTGAGATTGTTCAACGGAACATATGAGTATATAATTCCGAGTAATTTTTTTCCCTATTTAATCAATTTAAATTACTTTTATGACGTTGGCCGAAAGTGAATTTTTATCATTAATTAATGGAAATAATAAATAAAGTAATAAATTATATAATTCCGTCAATTATTTACCGGTCCGCTATCGTTCATTGTAAAACAAGGTAACACTCGAAGTGCATTTTTTGGCGAGGATATTTGATATTTTCTAATACAACAACGGGCACTATCGCCATCGTATCGTCAATCGTAAACCGCTGTCAGTCATTTAAAACGGTTCTGAAACAGCGGTATAGTGTTTATGCATAGCTGCGTGTCAACATGTCAATGGCCGAATGGCGTGTTGGCTTCATGCAGCACGCAATCGCGGAGCACGTGCAGCTTGCAAATCCCCGCTTTCCTCCCCCACCAGCTTTGTCCGATAATCCCCGTAAATTTACTTCGATCGGAGCGACCGTATGCGCGTATCCATATAAATGAATTTGTTATATTCCCGCATGAACATTGCGCACGAACGGTAAGCTGCAAACATTACGAATGAGATTCTACTCAGTGATAATAGAGTCCCTGTTTACGTTATTATCGACAATATGCTACGTTATTTCAGGATTAATTTACAATACTCTCATTCCATACTAAGATAATTTAAGCACGATTGAATACGATCGATTTTCAATACCCAATCAAACTTCATTATTTACTCGCATGTTTCTAAAGCAGAAAAAGCTTCGTAAATTCCGGAAACTAAACTGCTAGTGCGTTATGAATAAATCTTTCTGATGCACATCTGGAATGTAGGAACTATTATATCAACTTAGTTTTAAGCTTTAGCTTAATGGCCATTTGAGAATAAACACTTAGAAGTTACGAGAGTGAGAGAATAGTTCTCTATGGAATTTCTCTCTTCTAACAAGCACTGGCTATTAAACAATTTTTACTTCTACGAAATTAGTTGTAATTTTTGTTACATATATATTCTCGTAAAAAATATGTTCCATAATGCACTATTTTGTGAACCAAAGTGTTAATTGGAACAATGTTGTACAATCGACAGACTTCTTTTAAATTTTATTCGCTTTGACTTTAACACGATGAAAATATTACTGTGAAGTATTAATATTCTTTATAATTATAAATGCAAATGCAAAAACTTGGCAGCTGTAACTTCATTACTTTGATCATGTCGTTTCAGATAAAAATTTGTCCATTTTTAAAAAATAATGAAATTTTCAAGTACAACGTTGTTCCAATTTCAGTTGATTGTTATAATGAAATGGGTGCCTTTACAAAAGAGATCAGCGCGACTCCATTACTGTTCCGTGCTGATTCCTTCGTTCTTTCTACGTGGCGAAATGAGGCTAAGGACACACTCGCATCCTGGCTTACCTCTATCATGTTCCATGCGACTGAAAGCGAGTCCAGCTCGCTTCCCGCGTCCTTAGGATCAGCCTAATTGGCGCGTGACCGGCGCGGCGCCGTGGTGCGAGGGTGCGGGTGCGGGCACGGCCGCGGGCGCACCGTGCCCGCGTTCGCGAGTGTCCTTCCCGATATGCGAATCCGTTTCCTTTTAGCCCGGTCCTCCCGCGGGACCGCCTCGCCGGGCCTCGCCCGGAGCCTGCATGCTCCCAGCGCGTATCAGTGCCTTCAGCCGAATCTCAATACGCAGCCCAGAGCAGCGTCGTCCAAGTCCTCGGAGTCACGGACTCGCGAACGAACACATTAGGGTAACGCGCACCGCGGACCAACCGGTTGTCCCGATCGGGGGTCCCGAGCCTCGCGATCGGGCGAGGCACTACTGCGCCGACGATGATGGCGACGTCGCACGACGACGACACTGAGCAGCGGCGAGTCCTAACGAGCGGAGGGTTACGTCGACGTCATGCATGATATCCGATGGTCCATTTCCCGCCTCCTTCCGCTTCCTGTTGCTGCTGCTGATCCGTCCGTCGTTTCCTCCTCGTCGGTCCTCCTTGCTTGTGTACCACGATATTACATCACCCTTCAACCACCGCGTCACCCTCTCGCGACGCCCTCCACTCTCCTCTCTCGACGGGGCAGCCGCGCGCGCGGATCGACTGGTCGGTCGCTCGGAGTCGCGGTAGGTAGGAGAGAATGGGGGAGAGAGAGAGAGAGAGAGAGAGAGAGAGAAGAAGAGAGAGAGAGAGAGAGAGAGAGAGAGAGAGAGAGAGCGAGAGTGCGCGGATGCGAGCCTCGCTGCGGAGAGGAATAGGAAGCCGGAGGTCCTTCGTGCTGTCGATGGCGTCCGCTCTCAAGGGTGGGCGCGATACGATCGAGCGGATTTGTCGCGCTTCATAAAGACTCGCGATCCTGGAATTTCAACTCCGGAAATTCGTCCGTTCGGCCAACAAACCGGAACTGGATCCTTGAAATTTAGAACGATGACAACGACGGCGAGTATGTTGCGCACGATCGACCCATTACCGTTTCTCGGATACGCGGTTTAAAGGCGCGGCCGCGCCGCGCCGCGCTTGCGATCTCCAGGGATCAGCGCCGATCTCTCACGCTTGACGCTTCCTTTCCGCGCGGCTAGCGTAGGTGGCCGTACGCGTTCAGTTTCCTCCTCCGTAACGTTTAAAAGGGAATTATAAATAGGCACTCGCGCCTGTTAGAAGGTGATGCGCGCGAGGCGCTGGCGCGGCCAGTTTAAGCTGTCCGTTGTTGCTGTTACCGCCGGATCGCGGTCCGCCGTTGATGCTGCCGCTACGTTTGCCTGTGTTGCTGATGTTGCTGATCGCGCTGACAGGCACCCGTGGTATTCCGTCGCGCGTACCTCACACGCGCGGGCGCGGAAGAATGCGAGAGAAAGAGAGGGAGAAGGAAAGAGAGGGAAGACGATGAAAGGAAGTGGAGAGAAAATGTTAGCTGCAATTGGACGGAGAGAGAGAGAGGAGAGCGGAAGGAAAGAGCGCGAGAGAGAAGGAAGAAAGATGAGGTAGATAGAGAGAGAAAGAGAAAGAGAGAGAGAGAGAGAGGGAGAGAGAGAGAGAGAGAAAGGGAAGGAGAGTGAAGCGTAAGCGAGTCGATGCGCCGGTTATTGATTGGCAGAAGTCGAGACCAGAGGGAGAGAAACCGCGGCGCTGTCACACCGGCTAGGTAGACCGTCGAGGACTATCTTTGTGTTAGCTTCTCGTTGATCACTTGATTTTCTCCGGGAAGACTTCCGGTGTCGATCTTTGCGCGCTTGCTAAATCAGTTGTACGGAGACGTTCTTCTTTTTTTTTTTTTTTGGGGAAGATTAGTTTCAGGAAGATTCGATAATTATGGAAATTGATCCTATCCCTTGGTCCTTTCTCATTCGATTTCAAATAACGGTTGTCAAGAGACAGCCAATTTCGAAGCGCGACGAATGTTTCCACCTTTAGATTTTTTTCTCGGAAGTGACAGATGACGGAAGAATCTTTCAGACGCAGAATCCGACGCAGAAGTCTCTTTCGGTCGAAGAGATTCCTCTGGACTCAGTCAATTTGAGAGAGGCGTCGGAAATCGGAAGATTGGTACCGGTGTCCGGATGCACCGTTGCGCGATCCTTCCTCGGTTGAATCGCACGCGTCGATCCAGAGCACGTATCACTGTTATGTATACGTACGCGTGTATATCTTATCTTATCTTCCTTTTTTAGCTCTTTTTTTCTCTCTCTCTCTCCTCTCTCTTTCTCTCTCTCTCTTCTTCTTCTTCTTACTTTACTTACGTTTACTTACGTTACTTACGTTACGTTACTTACGTTACGTTAACGTTTAACGTTTAACGTTTAACGTTAAAACGGTTTAAACTTAAACGTTTAAACGTTAAGTTAACGTTAACTTAACGTTAACGTAACGTTAACCGTACGTACGTACGTACGTACGTACGTACGTACGTACGTACGTACGTAACGTAACGTAACGTTAACGTTAACGTTAACGTTAAACGTTTAACGTTTAAACGTTTAACGTTTAACGTTTAACGTTTAAGTTTAAGTTTTAAGTTTTAAGTTTAAGTTTTAAGTTTAAAGTTTTAAAGTTTTAAAGTTTAAAGTTTAAGTTAAGTAAGTAAGTAAGTAAGTAAGTAAGTAAAGTAAGTAAGTAAGTAGAGTAGAGAGAGAGAGGGGGGGAGAGAGATTAATTTATTATACATTCTGGAATAAATTCTCTTGAAGCGTAGAAAAAATAGGACAATATAATAAAAGATTTAAACAAGTCATATTTTTATAAGCAACATACTGCGAAATAATTAATAAAATTTTCTTTTAATATGTTAAATTTATGTTTATGTAGCATTTACGTTATTCCTTAAGCGGCACACACCTCGAAATTATTCGTGACTTTAATCAACATTAATTTTTTAATTTTAAAAGTACTTTCCTACCATGTGTGTTTGTCTACATTTTCAACAAAATATTTAAATAATTTATTTTTAATTCTTTTTAAACTGTAACTGTCTTTATTATATATTATATTAAATAATAGTAATTATATTAGATTTTGATACTAGATATTAGATTTTATGTTAGATTTTGAGTGTTTTAACAAGGTCAGAATATGACACGAATGACCCCGATGTGCTGAAAACGAAATAAACGTAGGAGGGTCACGCAAGTGAATAAGTAAGCTATTTCATAAGTAGATTGCTGCAGTATTGAAGATTTGTTTCGCTGTATCAATGAAACACTAATCAAATTGGGAGCAATTCTGTTTGTAGTAACTATAAATCTTAAAAATTGTGACTCATTCTATTATTTTATTTAGTCAAAAGGAAAATATATCCGGAATAATCCGCACGCGTGTGTCCTTTTCTTGCTCTCAAATTTCTTCTACGCAAATTGTTTTTTTTTATATTTTAATATTTTGAATTTTACGTCAAGTATTTGCATTGCTACTCATGCTATCACAAATAAGAGTTTTCTTGATACAACAATAAAACATGTATAAAATGTGATTCTGTTTTTTCCTGAAAGTCTATGCTATAATAAAAATATTTGAATATTGAATAAAGATATCTATACAGGAGAGCTATGGGTAGTGAAATTATTTCGATATTTAATCGCTGGTTTAATGTAACGCCAAATACTAAGGCTTGAAGCTATCAATACACGTTTTCTCGATAAACTTTATATATTATATAAAGCGCAACGCTAATAATAGATTAATAGACAGCTAATAATAAAAATTATATAAGAACTAGAAGAAAGCGAAAGCAAAACGCATTTGTGGCAACGATATTTTCGCAAAATGTATGACATAAGGCTTCTTCATAATTATAAATATCTCCACATTCTGAAAGGAGGCGTTTATACGCAAAAATAAATAGATGCGCGCTTTCATCGTAGATAGGTATATCGTAGACCTACGCCTAGATTTTTATGGAAATCGCGTCGCCGCGTATTTCAGGAATATTATGTTCTTCCACAGCGAATCTCATTTTCACTCCCTACGACGTCGTCCTTGGCACATCGTCGTTTTAGCGGCTTTTAAGTTAAGTAGTTCCGCGTTTGCGGCGCGAGAACGGAAATTTCTCTCGCGCGCAAAAGTGCACCCGTCTCCTCCTTCCGTCCGCGGTCGTCGCTATCGATCACGCGACCGCGGCCAATACAGACCACCATCATCCCTCCGTCAGTTTTTTCCGCCTCGCGTCTACGTAAGGAAGAGACGGGCGACGCGCGAGCGTAAGGGAATGTGTCGGAACGGGGCGGGGATCAATATATCGCCGGCGGTGGAGCGGGCCCGATGCATTCGCCGTTCCTAAATTGCGACTCGGATGCAGGTGCCTCGCGTCGCTCTCGCTGCGAGGACGATCCTCGGCGCATCCGCGTGCGCGGAGCGGCCTCCGGCTGGACGATAACGAAGCGACGACGGGGCGCGCTTGGAAGTTAATTTCAGAGCTGCGTCATGGAACGTTACACATGGTAAGGCCGAACGGGATGTAAATGAAGGTTGCTCAGACCGGGTGCCGCTGGTACAACACTCGGTGGGGAACCCGCCAAGAATGCCGACCAGCACCCGGCGTCGGGGAAACCGAACGGTCGGTTCAACCGAATGCCTGCTTATCGGCCGCTGTGAGTTTCTAACAGTGAGTAGCAGCGGGTATTTCGTCTTGGGTAGTGACTCTACGTCTGCACACATATGCCAGCTGTATCGTTTAAAATTATCAGACTCTTGGCTGCGTCAGAGTCGTGTAATTTTTTTTAGTTAATATATTAGACCTAATTAGAATGTCAAAAATATTGATAATCAAAAATGTGAAAACAATCGAGAATTAATTTTGCTTACATTTGTTAAGTGAGAAGAAAAATCGATAGTCTTTCTTAACATCTCAGGCTTAATAATTGATTAATGAATATTCGTTAGAAACAGTATTGATATGAGTTTTGAAATTGAATTCGGAGAATAAATTCGTGGTATGCAGAGAATATATGGATAATGTTGAAGAATGGAGATGTCGAGGAACGCGTTCGAAAGTATTTTCCTTTATTCTTTCTGCGGATTTCTTTGAAAATTTTCCTACCAGCCCAAGAATCCCTAAGGAACTTTCTCTTTCAGGTATGCTGCATAGTTTTAAAAATAACGACCCGTACGCGGCGAGAGGCGCCTTGTGTAGAACCGAGTTTTTAGACCTTTCCGAAGGTTCCCCGAAAAGGGATCTAAAAGATCTCCCTAACGCGTCTTCTTCGCCCCGCCACCCTCCGTTTCCCTCACTACCGAAAATGCCCCTGCAGTGCTTGGCTGCGTCGTGAACACGTGTAGAGAAACAGACGGGCGGATTCAGGGTGGGTGTATATGTGTGCGTGCGCATTTGTGTGGGCGTATACGTGTAAGATAGTCTATACGCACACACTCGCCAGCTGGTCCATCACTGGCTGTTAGTGTGTGGTGTGGGTTGTTGGGTGTGCGATGGGCGGAGAAGGGGAGATGGGGAGTCGGAACAGGCTCGACTGCTCCCTCTAATACTGGAGGATTGAATGGGCGAGGAGGGTGGTATTGGGTTCCCTCACCCCACTCCCACCACCCACACGCTGCTGCCACCCGACCCGCTTGAGCCACCCACTTCTGTCCGCCTGCCACCCCGCCTGCCCACCCACTCGCCACCCGGCTGCCGTCGAGGAAACAACCTGCAACCCAACCAGCATAACGTTTACTCGAACAACGATTTTCCATCCACTTTGTCTTCGTCGTCGGCATAAGAAGGTGAGTAAATTGTAAGATCCGGTAGTGTCCTGCCGTTCTAAATGTTCCCCGCGTACGTCCCTGTGCCTTCTTGCGTCCGTGAGCCTCCGAAGCCGTCGTGTTGTTCGACGTCATCATCGACCAGTATCAGTTTGGCATCAGTCTCGGCCAGTGTGTGTCTTCGGCCAGGACGTTCCTCTCGTCATGTGTGTTGTTTCGCTTCTTCCACCGGGTTGCACGCCGAGAACGAATAATCGGGAGAAAGTACCGAAGTGAGTGAGAAGTAGAGCGAGCGGAGTGAGAATCGAACGCGAGAGCGACTCCGAATGACGACGGAGCCGCGCGCGTACGAGAGCGAGAGAAGAGCCCGTCGTGTATTGTGTGTATCGCGAATAGGCCGCGCGCGAATACCTATCGAGACGCGCGGAGCGCGCTGGCTATATGTGCGATGTCTCGATGTGTCCGTGTGTTCGTCGGATGTTCGACGGTGTGCAGCGCGCGGTGGGACAGACGGAGAGAGAGTCGGCGTGTGTTCCAGGAGCGCGCGCGTGTGCGCGCGAGGGCGGCTGTTCGCGGTGCTTCGCGATATCGTGCGCGATGATTATGTCGCGGGTGGTGCGCGGCCAGGTAGACCGCTCTTTGCTAGCGACCTTCGCCGCGGCCTTTTTTGCGGCGTGCGCGCGCGTCCCGACAACAACGACGCTGGCGATGCTGACGACGGCGGTTTCCGCGCGCTCCGCCACACGGAGAAGCGGAAAAAGATGGGAGAGCAATGTGGAGCAAGCGTAGGATCTTTCGAGAGCGTAGGATGTAAACGAGCACGATAGTACGATGTATAAGCGCGAGCGCAGGGAAGACCTGCTCGACGTCCTTGAGTTAGTCGGCAATAATTTCCGGATGAATTTGAATGGGCACTGCGCGCGCCTTCTCTCTCTCCTCCGCCTCTTTCGCGATCATTCTCACTCTTAAACTCTCTTCTTCTCTCTACCCGTCTATCTATCTTTTTCTCTCCGTCTCGTCAGGATTGTGTCTCTGCCTTCATTCCGACCGACCATGTTCCCGCCGTCGTATCGTCGCTTCCTTCTCTCCCTTCAGACTTTCCTGCTCTTTCTCTCCGCGCTGTGACACAGGGGTTCTCATCCGGTGCGGAAGGTAAAGTTCCCATTACTGTGGTTTAGAAACACCCTCTGCGATGCTTCACCATCTGCCGTTTCTAAGGGACGTGCCCTCGATCGGTGGCGGAGGGGAATATTGATTTATTCTTTACGGTAACCCCTTCTACGTGCTGAACGCTCTTGCTTTCCCCTCCCTATGCGTATATACGTCGACCTGATATGTGTATTCGCACACACACACACGCAGAGCGTTACTCAGAGCAGGGGTGCTGCTCAGTTTCCCCTTCCCTGTCGCTCGAGGGGCAATACGATCAATACAGTTCTGCTCCTTCTTCACTTCGAATTCTGTCGTCACCCTTGCAGAGTACAGCGCCAAATTCACGCACCATTCGATTGAAATCAATCGAAATGTAACCAGATATATCGCTAGGTAAATTAACAAATATATTGTCGACGTTGATTAAGGATCTGAAAATTATCTTCAATAATATTTTTACCTTTTCAGATTCTTAATCAACAATATATTTGTTATAATTGTAATAATAATCTATTTACAATAATCTATTATAACTGTAATAATAATCTATTAAAACCACATGATAAACGCTTTCTAATACTTTCTAATAGTTCTAATACTTTATCACGTGGATAATTTCTTAAACATTTTCATTATCAATGAAACATTAAGTAATAATAAATAATAATTATTCTGTTGCAAGTAAAGACAAGGTAATGATAGATAATAATTACTCTGTTGTAAATAGTTCGAAGAAAGATTCTACAACTGTTATTTTAACTCTAACTGGCGAATAAGATTTTACATCTTTTTAAATCGTGGCATGTAGAAATATTAATGCTAATCGAAATGGTGTATCCATTATTTCTCGAAGAAAACTTATAAATTATCTTCCCCGTTTTCTTTTGCAGCATTTATATCGAAGAATCGACAATATACATTGCAAATAAGCAGAAAAATGTAATTACTTATTTATACAGAAAAATATTGAAAAATATTTTCCAATAAATAAGATTTTTTTATTCTTCTAAAAATGTTGTCAAATCTTGTTGCAAATTTATTGCTTTAAAGAAGAGATGTAATTATTTTTAAAGCAAAATAAGCAATTATATTTTTTTAGACGCATTGCACTTATGCAGAAAAGCAACGTTACACAAAGTTTTCTGTGTGACTTCTCGACTAATTTTCTTTAAGAGGGATATGATGTTCGAATTACTAAACTCAACCCTGCATGTCGCCTAACTATTTCAAACTTAATCTTGTAGCATCCCAGAGAAGTCGTTAGCGCGTCCGTTATGAAGCTTTGCACACTATTCCCCTCATCCACTGTCACGCTTGTTCCACATGCTTGCACTTTACGAAACACGAGAACTCGATCATATTTATCTTCTATTTATGTATGGGCGCACGGAGCAACGTGTTCAAATCGTAATGCTGTTAATACAGCAGGACTTCTTACATTGTCGTACTTTTCATTTATTGTTACTCGTTTCATTAAACGCATTTAACGCTAATGTGGATTGAGATTAAGAAAATTTTATCGATTCAGATATTTATTTGCTATGTACGACCTTCCAATTTATTTACATCACATATTTGTTATGAGATGTCGATATCATCGGTTGTTTCCACTCTTGTCTTGAAACTGTAAGACATTTAGTAAGTAATCATAAAGACAAGACGTGCTTTTGGAATCAAAAGTTAAAAAGTTAAACTAAGCTGTAATTCATACTGTAATTAATTTTTGACGAGTTTTAAAGTTTTAAAACGAAATAAAACGAAGAAGAATTTTCTTTTAAGTTTAGATTTTTGACGACGACTCAGCACGCAGGTAGACAAATTCTTCGGAGATAACAAAGGGAAAAGGTTATTATTGTTCTGTGGAAAGTGACCGTTACAAAGCTGTAAAATGGAGGGCAACGGTCCTGGAATTAGCAGACTTGATTGTTACGAGGACATGTTTAAGGAAATTACCAGAAAACTCTACGGCGAGGATCCCGATCATAGAAGTAAGTTAAAATTTTTCAACTTGAATAATTGATATTTGTGCCGAGTTAATTAAGTATAAAATGGTTGTTTTCGACGGATGCTTATCTCATGAATTATTGATTGTATTTAATAATATAATTGCACAAATCGGTGCATTTATAATAGAAATTATTTATATATGACGTCGTATAATTCAGCAAATATCTTTTCCAATGCAATACGTGGGTGAACGTGTGTTATTAATATGCAATTATATGTATATAAAATTTATTCTACACAATTCAGAATTAATTATCTGAATTGTTTTATTATTTAATGTTCGCTACATGCAGCAGTCGAGGAAATTTTACATATAACTAGCAGTTTGATTAAATTTAAAACTTTTATTTTTTACTAGAGTCCATACATAACTACTGAATCGATTCGGTTTAACGAATATTTTTTAAAATAAAAATGCAATGCACTTCTTTCGCCATAAAACGCAAAATTCTTAATGCAGCTCATCATAATTTTGTTGATGTAGCGTCGAGTGTGCAAAATGAGTTCGAGGCATCAGTTTCATATAAAAATGATGAGGATACCGGAAATACCGATATTAGTGATGATGGAAATTGGACGTATGAAGAGGAAGCGCTCAAAGGAACTGACGGGAGTCGAATCGCCGCTTACCACGCCGGAAAAGCTATGTGGCGATGCGACGAGTGCGGTACGAACGCAAGATTCTTACATTGCTAAATATATTTTTGCAATAATATTCAGTGAACAAGTCTGAGTATAGTGTCGCGTCTAATAACGTTGCATAAACCCTCCGGAAAATTTTTTTCGCCGAGCTAACTTGTTTACAATCTCATAAGCTTAAAGGTCTAGATCGATATAGTATTCAGCGTATAGTCGAGTAACTTTCTATCCTACAGTGCAAAAAGTTTAAGTGACGCAAGATAAAAATAAGTTGATTAGCAAGGGTAGATAGCGAGAAAGGTCCCCCTGCTAATTACCGATCGTACCGTTTTGAACAATGACGTTGTATCGCAGTCTTTCCAGGGTTTTTCCCCAAGAATTTGATCGTATTTCATTATGTGGAGATATTTAGACACATAATTATGAGTTCCGAGTGTAAATTGTTATAATGCTTTAATAGTTGCAATCTTTTTACCGCGATCACATAATGAGGCTTAATTAATTTATTATACTTAAATGTGAAACAATATAATTTAAAATATATTAAAAAATACACAATAATCTGAGATATCGCGCAAATTTGACGTCTAGAAAACAAAGAAAAATAAAATGAAAGAAAAGAATGAAAGAAAAGAAAATAGAATGTCCCGTTAGCTATTTTTGAGCGTACTTAAGTACTATAGTTTATCAAAATTAAATTTCTTTTTAACAGGTGATGTCACGGGAGGTGGTCCTCGAGAAGCTGCAGAGCACTTTATGGAACTGCATTCCTCAAGGTTTCTCGTCGATGGCAGGAATCGACACCATTCGCCGCGTAAAGATTATTTGCAGACAGACATTAAAGTCGAAGACGTAGTTTTGTACCTAGAGAGGCTCCGCGAACGCGCCGAACGGGCGGCTCCACCATCTCGAAGAACACAGGAAACGCAAACTGTGCCTGCAGCTTTATTGCCGGTCACTTCGAGCTTTCTTTTACAGGAACTGCCATCCGCTGCTGCGCCACAACATTTACAACAGGTAATGCATATAGAAATATATCCAACAGATCTAATTTTGAGCAAATATTGTCGAATATGCTATAAGATAAGTAAAAAAAAAAAAATGTGAATATGTGTCATTTGAAATCAAAGAGTGAGAATAAAACAGCATAACTTATCGCAGACAACTGCGGTCGCTACCGCCGCAACAGCGTCCACGGGAGAAAAACGGTATAAATGTATGTATTGCACCTACGGCACGGATAGGCGCGACCTTTACACGCGCCACGAGAATATTCACCGTGAGGAGAAGCCCTTCCTATGCTACATCTGCAACAAACCGTTCAACCGTGCCGATCACGTGAAGAAGCACTTTATGCGAATGCACCGCGAGCACACCTACGATCTGGCGCGTATACGAAGACCGGTGGGCACAACGACAACTTCGCGACCGTTACAACAGGATGCGGGCGCGTCGACGGCAGCTGCGACCGTCACCGCGAATAACCAACAGCAGCAGCAGCAGCAGCAACAGCAACAGCAACAGCAGCAGCAGCAGCAGCAGCAGCAGCAGCAGCAGCAGCATATCAATTATCAGTCTGCTTTTACAAGCAACAAGGGTTATCCGTTGCAGCCGACTGCGTCGGGTTCTGGCGCCAGTACTCTTAATCTTTATCAAGCCGCTATGCCCGCGCCGGGGATCATGCAGTCCGATGCGAATAATTGCAATGCGAACAGGCGAGGACCGAGTGGCGGCTGCAATAGTAAGAGTCATCTTAAAGGTGGCTCCAAAAACGCGCAAGAACGAAGGTACGTTTCTCTCCGATTCACGCGATTGTTAATTCTTTTTCAAGCTGGTTTCGCCGATTATCTAAATTGTCTATTTTTGTAGAAATTTTCTATTTTTCTATCTTCTGTTTTCTATTTTTATACATTACGACACAAGAACACGAATGACGGTGGATTTCTTGTCGCAATGTATCAGGCGCATAAGCTAATCTCTAATGTAATATTTATTATCATCAATTTACTTTGATTTATGCTTCTTAAATGTAATACAGCAAGGATATACAATTGATATATTAGTATGCAGGTAAGAAATATTGACCAAAAGATATAAAAACTAAAAATTACAGATACTCTTGCTTGTACTGTCCATGGAGTGGTGTTGATAACTGGTGTCTGAAGCGACACATGAACACTCACACGAAACCTTTCGAATGCGGTTTATGCGAGTACAAAGCGGCGCGCGCCGAACGACTAGCGACGCACGTATTGAAAGTTCACAATAAGAGACAGTGCTCGAGATGCTCGTTTCTCGGTGACGACGTGACGCAATTGCAAATACATCAGCAGCACGTTCATCGTATGAACAGTGCGCCATCGACGTCCACCACGCAGACAGTGGCACCGCCACCGAGTAACCGTCTACCACAATCTTTGCAGTAAGCGATATTCTTAATTCTTTGTGGTGGAATTTGACAAAATTTGGGTAAATTAATTAAAACAATAAATAAATAAATAAATAATGGTAGCAAAGAAAGAAAAAGAAAAAAAAAAGCATGTGAAAAAAATCTAAAATTATTTGTTTTGGCCTGGATTTATTAATATTGTAATTAAATAATGAATAAAAGCACGACAATAATTTTTGAGGTAGTTCCAACAATTTCTCAATTATTCAAAATTTATTTGAAACTTTAAGAATTTATGTGTAAACAGCGTCAGGCAATATCTCAAATTTTTTTAGAATTTTTTACTACATAATTATTAAAATATTCTTCATCTTCAATACATTTTCATAAGTTAATCAAACAAAAGTCGAATAATTTGTCTAATAATAGGAAAATTACTTTCTTATAGGAAAACAATTTTTCGCACAAAATTTAAAAAATATAGAAACTAATTTTTAGTTTCGTAAAATAAACTTATATTTTTTTAGTGCACGCGTAAACATACATACATCGTCATTTACGTGTAGAAAGTACAGTCAGGTAAAAACAAAAACTGTTTTGGTTTCTTCAATATTTTCTTTATTTAATCAATCCTACGTATTTTTTGCAACGAGTGCATCGTTGCAACTAAGTAAATAAATACATTAATACCGAAGTGAGACTATGATTTTTGGAGCAAATTCCACCACATTATTGCAAGTTTAATATTCGTATTTTAAAACTTCATGAATTTTTGAAAAATTAAGAGATATAGCTTTAAGAACCGTCTTGGTTGTTAGAGTGCAAAAAAAGCAAAATTTTTTAATTTGTTTTATAATGAAATTATTAGTCCACATAGAAACTTTGACTGCGGTTCCCACCGCTACAAATGCTTCGAAGCATTGTAGCATCAAGTGGACCGCAAGCCTTTAATGTACATCTCTCAAAGAGATTCTTGAATGTATGTAATTAAAGTACATTAATCTCTCTCAACGGAGATTCAGAATGTACGGAATTAGGCCCCTTGCGCACTGTCGACTAGTCGCCGGCGATTTGGTCGCCGAGAGATTAGAAACAAAGGCTGGTCGCGCGGCTAACGACGATTGCGTGCGTAAACACTTATAAATTCTATATACTCAGTAGTCGCCGGCGACTACTGAGTATATATTGTAGAATTTATAAGCGTTTAGTCGACAGTGCGTAAGGGGCTTTAATTAAGGAAATAAGAAAGGAAGGAAGGAAGGAAGGACGAGAGAAAAATACCAAGGCGTGAGTGTGACTTACAATTAGCCGGGAGTTGAACTCGGGTCTTCTTGCTTATTGGGTGAATGTTGCATCACTGACCTATTCAGATTTTTAGAGCTTCAAGATTCTCTCTTGCAAATCCGGAAAGAAACAAATTATTTTAGAAGATAAACGTTTTAATTAACCGCGTTCAAAGTCACTTGTGTCTTGATATTTTTTCTCACTCTTCTTTTTTTATGTCTTTGTTTAATTTTGTACATTTTAAATGTCCATTGAGAGATCGATGTACTTTAATTTCGTACATTCAAAAATTTCCATTTGAGAGATCGATATACCTTAAAGTTCCTATGTGGACTAATAATTTCATTATAAATAATTATTTTAGAGACCCTTACTCATGTCAATAAACAATTAACTTTCTTTTATTTAAAAAACATTTCACAATTTCAATTTATTCTCGACATGATTCAATTTTTATCCGTCATAAAAAATCCCTATTTTCTAAAAAAATTTAAAAAAATATTATCAAAAAAATAATATAATAAAACATATTTTTTGATGTATAAAATACAACTCAACAATGTAAAAAAAATGGTATATCGATTTGGAATGTACTTTTTTCTATCTTACATTTTAATTATTTAATAATCGTAAAATACACATCCATAAACAATGAATAATATCGGTAATATAAAATTTGTGATTATTTTATGTTATTCGCAGCATTCAAAACAGTTTTGATATTTTCTCTAACTTTCCATGTAAATGTCATTCAATCTATACGCTTCGGCATTAATGAAAATGATATTACACAACGCGAAATGTTTAATTGTCACCTTAACTAATTTAACAACATATAATTGTGCATTGCAAAGAGCATTGCAAAGAGCATTGCATAATGAGCAACGCCTAGTTTTTCCACTCAATCGGAGTTTGAAGCTTCATTAGCAAGTTTAATCAATAGACAATGCATTGCTATCTCAATTTGTAATAAATTCAGAAAATCAAAATACTGTATTTCAATCATGGTCGATTATTTATATGAATATTTAATTAAAATCGCCATATAAAATATATTGACAGGAGTTACTAGCCGGTTCTTACGAGTTATACGCTGTAATTATTTGCATAATGGTAAAATGTTCGCAAACTTCTAAATCTTTCCGCAGTAGTTTAAAGTTTCCTTTATTTTCTCGCTGTCGGCGAATAATTTGTGCTGTTATTTATTGTTCATTATTGGATTTATAGCCCTGTAGGAGGACGACCACCACCTGGGCCACCAGTTTTTCCAGCATCGGCTCCAATCTCACCTGCTACTCCTGCGATACCACCGAGCACAATACTCGGGTAAGTCTTCTGGCATTTACAGCATGTGATGATATTCGGTTTCCGTTTGTTTGTTTGTTCAATTAATTGCCGCATTCTGTTGCGTTCCACCTTCTTCTTCTTCTTTTTTTTTATTAATTGCCACATGTAACGTTAAGAAGCAAGCCTTTTTAAATTTTAAGTTTATACATCTCGATTGATATTGGCGTGCACGACGATGGGTTACAGATTTGCAATAATTTTTTATTATTGCCTCCGATCGGCCTCAGTTTGTTATAATACAAACGATTTACAAAACGTTCAACAACATTGAGTTCTTGTCGCCATTATTTTGAATGAAAAATCAATATATATCGATTCGTAACCCGTCGACGATGCACTCAGCTATTCGTTATTTCGCGCGTCATTATCCACTCCTCCTCCTATGTTTTGTGTTACGTTCTCGCGTCATTTTTTAATTTATTTTTCTTTAAAAACGAGATCTCTCGATCCCGTACATGTCAGCATATGCACGCTTTATTTGCTTTCGGTGTCATAAAGCTGCGTGCGCGACGCTGATCGCGTAAGCGCGTCTGTTATTGTTAAATGTGTACCTTTGTTCAGTTACACACATTTTTGTTTCTCTCACGTCGTGTTACGACGAACGCTCGTACGTTGGTAGAAAAATGACGCGAACGTAACTTATGGAACAGTGCCGCGGTGGTTGCAGCCACGAGATGGTAATGTCCCCTGCAACTGCAACGACCATGGCATACCCCACGGAGGAGGAGAAGCGGTCGCACCGTCGCATAGGCGGCATCAACGGTGACGACAACAACGAGGATGACGACGTCATCCGAGGCAATGGTAACCGCGAGGAACGCAGTCGCGACCTCGGCGCGTGTCGCGTCTGCGATTTCAAGAACAATAGGGATCTCGACGATCCCGAACTGTGTTCAAGCGATCACAGTAACGGGAGTAGTAAAAAAGCCGTTATCGATACGTCTAACAGTGATTTTATATGCAGTGACCGGCCATTGTTCAATGGAGTAGCCAACGTCGAAGTATCGTTGCCAGGCCCTTCGCGATACGAAAGGCAGGATATGCAGACGACACAAGTCAGTGCAGTCTACTGGAAAGTTTTATCGAGGTTTCTCGAAACGATGAAGAGGAATGAGAAGGAAACGATGAAGAGGAATGAGAAGGAAACGATGAAGAGGAATGAGAAGGAAACGATGAAGGACAATGAGAAGGAAAACCAAGAAAAGAGGCAGCACAAGAGACGAAGGAAGCAGAGCCAACCGAAACAGGTAATTTGTCATTGGGATTCCCGAAAGCGCTATGTGATACCTGTTCTGCGCTTGCAAAATATAAAAGACGTCGTACTAAATGAACAGAGAACAAGCAGTAACGCATATAAATTCTCTGAACTTCAACCGAGTATATTGCGACAACCAAGAATGTTTAAATGCCATATGTGTCCAAAGTACGCGCCCGCCCGAGGAATAAACCGTCTCCCGTACCACAGCAGAGCATCGTTGATACTCCACACACTGTGGCGGCATAAGCGGAGATCTTGGTTAGCCAAGACTCACGTGTCGAAAGCTCTGCCGTCAATCGTCTCCTCGATCACGTTGAAGGCCACGTTCTTTACCAGACCGAACTATAGTTATCACAGATAACAGCAGCGGGATCTGGGAGTGGCTGAAGGGCCGCTTTTTTCACCAGACCAAGTTATTGTAGATAACAGAATAGTAGCAACTGAACCTGGGAGTGGCTGGATAAATCATTCTCGAATTAAATTTTAAATAGATCATATAACATTTATTATATGACTTTTTTCAAAGAAAACTCTTTTTGAAGAATTTCTAGCTTAAATTTTGATATATATCTCTGATACTTTTGTATCTGTCGATTCTCCATGCTAGTTTTACAATTCAATCGATTCTTTCGTCACAATGGGAGGAATAATTTTAATTTATTGCAAAGATAATTTTATGCTCGCACAAGAAGAAAAAGTCTACGTTTGTATTATAATAGTTTATATATTTATAAAAAAAATTATAAGAATTGTTATATATTCTCATTGTATATTTAGTGCAGAATAGTTCATTCTTATTAATAATATTAAAATGCTTGTGTTTAAGATGTGGAATGCAAGCATCAATGTAGTTATTACTCTTTTCTTCAGTATAATGATAAAATTTTTACATTTCTATAACAAAAATACTACAAGTTACGATGTTTTCGGTATTAACTCGCTCGATTAACTCTTGTTATTACCAGCTTTATCGGGCGGGGTACATTTACTGAATGACACATTTCTTTATAAGATGTATAAAATGTATAAATTTGTCGTGCCATTCGAGAATTTTATTCTTTTCTGATGTCGCGATAAACTTGCTTTATAAAGAAATATTTTGCTGTATTTAAGAATGCTGTGAATCTCGAATGCATGTGATGCGAATCTTTAACCCATTGACATCTTTTTTCAACTGAAAATATGTTTAGGACTCGATTATATTTTTTTCCAAAAATAGTTATATTTTATGTATTATTCTTTTCAGTGTCAGTTGGAATAACAGAAAGAAAAAGATAAATGTTGATAAGTTGAAGTAATTTGGCTGATTTGTAATCATCTTTGAAAAGATACGCCGAACCAGACTGGCGAAAAAATACAAAAATGATGGCAATGGATTAATTGAAAGTAAGTTAATATATAATATACGTAATATAACATACAACCTTGTGCAAAAGTATTAAACACTCCTAAAATTTTCTAATAACTTCAAAAGGTAACAGCCTACGAACAATAAGCGAAGGCTCAGCTGTTATTTTTTTTTTAGTTATGGAAAAATTTTGAGGGTGCCTAATGCACAAGGCCTTTGCACAAGGTTGTACGTAAAAACATGTACATACATTTTTCGCTGCCTCAAGTACTTTATAATCCAGATAAGATGTTCTGGTTGATCGTAAGTCTAAGTGTTGTTTAAAGAAATTGAACTTTTTAGACAGATCCCAACGAATATGCACCACAGTTCACGCAAAGCACAAGAAGTACCTAAAGCAGAAAATTGAGTACATTTCTTGATCTTTTAAGATAGCTTTTAATTTTATCATCTTTATTTTACTTATGTTCACGATAGAGTGTAATTTAACATCTTTATTTCTTGAAAATTAAACCTAAGATTTTTTACTACGATACTTAAAAGCTATATTTACTAAGATAACTAAGCGTTTAATATCTTATATGACATAAAACGCAGTTTTTACCAAACCAAAGAATAACGTGATAATCGATTTTTTATTATTACTTATTATTTTATTTGTACTTTTGTTTAGCTCATTAAGTGATGCCCTCAACTGGATTACTTCAGAAGATAGGAATGCTAAATTAATTAAACAATTCCCCTGTTCGAGTTAATAATTCTAATGAAAATCGATACATGAAACATTTTAACAAAATTATTATTTTATTTGCGTTATATGATTTATGTATTACGTTATACATAAAATAAATAAAAAAAAGGATTTACAAAATAAAGTTCCTTATGTGAATATTTGCACTTCTGTGTTTTACTTAATTATACCTTATACCTTTTTTTATCATAAGTAATTTTTAATTGTGAAAAAAATAATACTTACTATTTTCAATTAACGCAGTACGATTGCGGTAAAATGATTCAAATAACAATATGTGAATAATTGATAATAACTTTTTTTATAAAACTTTTAAAGAAAGTGAAGTTATTAGTTGCAGGTATTGTAGCGAGATAAAGTATGTATATCGAATGCCGATATTATTGTATCTGTATACGTACATGCAACTTGATTGTGTAACTAAAAGTTGTCGCCACAGTTCTTAATTGAGTGACATAGTTTTTATTAAATTTGGAAAACATGGCTTATAATTTAATGTTACATTTGCGTGGCGAAGGGTTGAGCTAAAAGCAGCACAGCAATTCGGTCAGCATCAGTAAACTCTCGAAAATCGATCGAAAATTGCAAGCAATACCAACTGTAGTAGTGAATAATTTTCAAATTAGATATCTCATCAAAAATAAGTGTGACATTTATATTGTTTTAATACATTATAGAATAATATATAAAACATTTTTCATTTCATATTTTACATATCATTTTTGTTACATCAAAATAATGGAACAAGAGCCTAAAATAAATATTACAGAATTATTATAACAAAATTCAATGTTGATACACGCTAAAATTACATCCCGATAATAAAGAGAGAGAATTTAATTAGAATTATTATTTTATTAGAATTATTAAAATTTTTAATAAAAGACTAATAAGAGCTAAAAGAGCATTTTATGAATTTTCTCTCTCTGTCTTATTATATAACTAATCTGTTCTTGTTGCGGTTTTTGTACAGAATCTTTTTGTATGTACTGAATTTTATTTTTATTGAAAAAAAGACAAAATAAATATTAATTTATGCATATTGTAGATAGAAATTTATATTATTCAAAGTAATTTTGTGTTAAATAAATTGAATATGCACTAACAATCAGGTTTTTGTCTTTTATCAGCCTTTCATTTAGAATTTAATTTTTAGATAGCTTTGTGTTTCTGGATAAATTATTATATTATACAAATATACATTTTAACGTATTAGGAACAAGCAAAAAAATGAGAAGATTTTTTGTAAATTAATGGAAAATGTTCTTTTTTCTTACTCGTACTAAATATAAAGAAAAATCATTATGTATCTAAGTCAAGCTATTTTTTGCATTATTATTGTAGAACGAGGTTTATTTAATTCCCTTTTATCGCATATAATAAGTAGCTACCTTTTATCAAAAATAATTTCGTCGTTGAATGATTATCCTAACGAACCGTCGTTCAGTAACGTAAAACCTTCAGAGTACGGCTGAGAGACCTGATGTCGACAGTCGATAATTGGATGAAATCTGAAACCGTTCGACGCCACATTCCCCGCTTTACGCTTTACGGAATAACGTTGCTCTGAAATTATCAACGAACTTTGATAAATCGATTTTATTTCGCCAGTCGACGCACAACTGAGATTCTGGCACAAAATTAAACGAAAATGGAACTAAATTATTGAACATATGAAACAATTCTAAAAAGCAGTTTGCAATATAATATTACACAAAGTTATCGTACAAGTAACGGCAGAAAAATACGAATTTGCGACAACAATACTAAGAGCGGAAAAAATTTAGAGACTTAATAGGGGAAGGTGGGGTAAGACGGACCGCGGGGTAAAATGGTCCATTTGCTAGATCTTATTAGTAAGTACCTCTATCTGCTGGATAAACATAAAATTAATTTCCTTTTTGATGCTTTTTAACTGTTTAAAAATTACGTCATTATATCATAAGACTATCGTAAGTTATTTATAAAAAAACGTCAAATTCTTGCAAATAGATCTCGTGATCTAATTTCTTAGTATTACATTTTAAGTGACTAAGATTGCAAAACTTAATATTTTAAAATTTTTCTACAAGTTCCATATTTCTGGTTATTGAGAAGTAATATTTCATCAGTTACATTTAAAAAATAATTTTGATACAGGTAAATAAAAATAAGATAATATTAATGTTGTCATGTGGGGTAAAATGGACCAATTTAAATGGGGTAAAACGGACCAATTTATATATTTGTTCTACTTATATTTTCTACTTATACTTTCTACTTATAGTTTTCTGCTTATATATTTGCTCTGATTTGAGAAATATTTTACATCTCATTTTTTTTTACTGAAAAAAGCTATGAAAAATAAAAAACGCACTGTTAAAAGTAGAAGAAACTTGAAATTTATTGAAAATAATGTCTCCAAATAAAAACAGATTTTATAATAATTATTTATTTTATTTTTACATGCTTTATTTTAAAATGTTATATTTAATGTTATATTTAATATAAACGTTAAAAATTATAAAGATTATAATTATTTTAAAGATTTGTGTGTATAATAAAATAATTAATGTTAAATTAATTTCTATTCTTATTCAAAAATATTTAATAAATACTATATAGTTTTGATTTTGAGTTGATCAGTTAAATTATTTCTTGATCCATATTATCTCGGCTTGGTCCATTTTACCCCATGGGATGGTCCATTTTACCCCCACCTATGGGGTAAAACGGACCAAAATTAAGTTTTTAAAAATCTTAATAATAATTCAAACTTTTGCAAATTTTGAAAATTTAACATTATAATCTTATAATAAACATTCTACAGTTTCTTCATGCTAAATTTCAGTTACTTTTTGTCATTAATATAAAAAATATAGCCATTTTTGCTTAGGGGGTCCGTCTTACCCCACCTTCCCCTACTAAAAAAAATATTATTATGACGGAATCAATACTAACACAATAAAATTCGAGTCAGTAAGTAAATAAGATTTAAAGCCGTTAATCTTACAGTCAATTTATTATTTTTTACATCGTAGTAATAAAATTGACATTTAAATTTAAAATAAAGTACATTTTATATATATTTATATAACAAAATAAAATAAAGTACATTTTATATATATATATGTATTGTATATATAAAGTATAAATTTAATTAATTCTTCATATTCCTAACATTTAAATATTATATTTACGAAATCCATTTTACGATGTTCTGGTTAGAAAATTAGAATAAGCATATTGATTGTCAAGTTATCACCCGAATTATTATCTGTGAATATATGTAAGCATTGATTTTCAGTGAAGTTTGTGGAATATGAAACCGTGATGTCAATCAGTGATGAAAGGCCGTTGATAAACTCCTTTATCCTCAGGATGTATTCGATATCTGAGGAGTCCGTAAAGATCGATAACCAGGACGAAGTTACGGCGAAAGATCGACCGCGAGACGCAGAAAAACCAGCTTTGACGAGCAGAACTTCACGTCGACATCATGGTGGAAATCGCGTCCTATCGAGCCGCGCACGAAGCGAGTTAATCGCCAGGGCAAATCAGGTTAAAAAAGTCACGTAAGCTCGCGTTCTGCTCGGATAAGGTACACGAATATTCGTATCATTCGTTTTACGCGAAGACTTTAAGCGATTCGTTGCAAAAATGCGCGATCGATAGATGCGTGTTTAGTACTCTTCCCCTACGTCGATGTATTAGTCCCTCGTGTTTAAAACAATAATTAGATTTTGTCATTCTTTCTGATATACTCCCCAGTATCCTTTAATGTCTTCAATATAACCCTAAAAAGTTTAATCCTTTCTA